ACACACGCACACACACACACACACACACACACAGACAACCTCTCGTCAATATGCGTTTTCTGCATTACATAGCTGCAAAAAACACATAATAAAGTAAAAGGCAGTACGGGCCTCAAAGGCGCTGTGGAGGAAAGGAAGAGGGTAGTAACCTGGGCCAGGAACAACGGCTCATTCAGACTGGGCGAACTGGATGATAACTAAGAGAACTGTGGTTGGCAACTGCGAGTCATAATCTTCTCAATTATCAGCAAAAAAACATTTAAAGCGGAAAAAATTTCGCTTTGCAAACGATTATTTACCTTCTTCTTCGTGGGCAAGGAAGTCGAAATGCTCGATGCGGCGGCGTTCATCCTCCTCTGCTGCCAGACCTTTCGCCGAATAAAATCTGAAAATACTCGCCAAATGATTCAACTTCTTACCAGACTCCGAAGAAATGTTAGTTATAATCTTTACTAAAATATAAAAAATCGCTCCAGAGCCGTAATCAAGTCCCCACAGGATAAGGTAGACAACTCAGTTTCCCCGTTACTTGTCCAAATTTTCCCCCTGGTTCAAAATGATGCTCCCCTCCGTACCCAAAATTCGACATCCCCTCCAAACTATGACATTTTTTTTAATAACTTTTCAAGAACCTATCTCTGTATATCAATGCAAAAAAAACAATTTTATTGATTCTCATGCTTGCGCGACAGAATTTTCCGCTTCTTCCCACTAGATTTTCCAGCCTCTAACTCAATTTCCCGCATTTTTCTTAAGATACATGAGCGGCTTGCTGCCCTTCCGTTTTATTTATCGATATCGGTTCACTGACCATCAATCAATCACTTATTATCTTAAATCCCAAAGAAAAGAACATTTCTTACCTACTTTAATAATTCTTTTCATGTTTCCCATCACTTTTTCTTATTATATTTTTTGTTTAACCTTAAAAAGAAGAAAATATGTCATGTTTGCTTACCACAAAAATATGCCACGTGCTTCGTGGTCCTATTGGGAAGCGCTAATAAATCGAGAAATGATTAACTGACCTGCCACCTTCCGTCTCCTCATCGCTCATATCATTATCATCCTCGCGTATCAATCGCGATCGTGCAATTGATTTGTCCTGTATCAGTGAACAATGAAAAAAAAAATAATAAAAATTTTCTCTCTACCTCCCCCCATCCCTCTTTTCCCACCTCTCACATCATTAATGCGACTTGATGGACCGAAACATTCCTATTCAGATTTTAGTCGTATTTTATTCACATTTTCCTTTTTTATTTCCTTACATCTTTCACAAACGTATACTAACTAAAATTAAAATTATTTAATATCCCCACAGCCTTAAATATATTTGGATGCGTTTATAATAAAAACA